ATTCCACGATTTGCTTGAACGAAGTTACATCGACTTTGTCTTCCTCTCCATTCTTCTCAAACTTCACATTTGGTTCGACAAGTGGGGATGCATGATTCGAATCATCCATTCTGAATCTCTTGAGTATCTCTTTGACACACTTACTTTGACGTAGCACCATACCTTGCTTCCACATTTGAAATTCCATGCCTAGGAAATAAGACAATTTTCCCAGATATGACATTTCAAATTCTCTCATCATCATCTCTTTGAACTTCGACAAGTTCTCCAAGATATTTCTAATTACCAGCAAGTCATCGACATACAAGCAGATGATTGTTATATCTTGTGCTAGAACCTGAATATAGACACCATCTCTGATTTGCATTTGACAAATCCTAATTCGACTAAGTATGAGTCAATTTTCTTGTTCCATGCCCTAGGTTCCTGCTTGAGGCCATAGAGCGCTTTGTGAAACTTATATACTTTACTTTCTTCCTTCTAAATCATAAACCATGAGGTTTGTGTGACGTAGACCTCTTCGTCTAAAGGACCATTCAGAAATGCTGATTTCACATCTAAATGAAATATCGACCAACCTTGGTTACATACCAATGCTACCACTAGTCAAATAGTCTTTAATCTTGCTACTGGAGCAAATACTTCAGAGTAGTCGAGTCCTTCTTGTTGAAGAAACCCTCAAGCTACTAATCTTGCTTTATGTCTTGCTATCAACCATCAGCATTGTGTTTCAACTTGAACACCCACTTCACTTTGATAACTTTTGTATGTGCTAGCAATTCGACTAACTCCCATGTATTGTTTCTTTTTATTGCCTGTAACTCTTCGACCATAGCTAACTTCCACTATTTAATCTTCAAAGCTTCGTTATGGTTGATTGGTTCAGCACCTGCAAGTAAAGCAAAAATGAACTAATTCTCCATCTGGTGTGACTTCATCATCACCCACCACTTCCTAATCATGAAGTCTTGTTGGAAGAACTCTATTTCTTTGAGGTCTTTGGCTTGTTTCAACCTCTCTGACTTCGACTGTTTCTAGAATGTCAGCAACTACTTCGACTTCGATTAGAATATTAGCAATTTCTTCGACTTCGACTTCGTCAGTTTCTTGGTCAAAACCATAATTCATCAATGGCTTGTTAATTGCATCATTTGAATTCCAATCCCAGGTAGAATTTTCAATAATCACAATGTCTCGACTCAACACAATCTTCCATTACCTGGATTGAATAACCTGTATGCACCAGTTTTATGATATCCTATCAGAATCATATGTTCACTCTTGTCATCAAGCTTCCTTGTTCTCGCATCAGGAACATACTTGTAACACATAGAGCCAAACACCTTCAAATGACTCACTGATGGTCGTTTGTCACTCCATACTTCTTCAGGAACATTGTTCTTCAATATCTTGGTAGGGCACCTGTTTAAAATATAAACTGCAGTCGAAACAACTTTACCCCATAAGGATTTTGGAAAATTTGGTTGCTTCAGCATGCATCTCGTCATATCCAATATGGTTTTGTTTCTTCTTTCTGCAATTCCATTATGTTGAGGCGTATAAGGAGAAGTTACCTCATGATCGGCACCATGTTCTGTACATAAATTTTCAAACATCTTGGATGTGTATTCGCCACCTTCATCTGTTCGCAGAACTTTGATCCTCTTATCACTCTAGTTTTCGACAAGTATCTTGAATCTCTTAAAGATTTCGAATACTTCATCATTTCTCTTGATCACATATATCCACAACTTTCGACTGAACTCATCGACAAACAAAACAAAATATATGTTTCTACCAATGGTACGTTCTTCGAATAGACCACATACATCTGAATGTACCACTTCGAGTATGCATGATGATCTCGAAGTTTTACCTTGCTCTTCTTCGACTCGTCAAAATCTGTCAACCACTCCTTTCGACCAATCATGTGATTCGAGCAGCCTGAGTCGAGGAACCAGATCTTAGATTTGACATGGTTATCTGCAACTGCACCGATAACCACCATACCACCTTCAGAATCATCTGAATCTTGGCGTACAAGGTTCGCTCTTTCGTCCTTGCCTGTCGATCCCTTATTCTTGGCTACGTAACCCCATTTTTCACAGTTATAACACTACACACTTTTTTTATCTTATTTGTCCTTTCGATAGTTTCCTCCTCCTCTTTTCGAGGATTCATAAGCTCTGTCTTCGACCTGATGCTTGTGAGGGTTCGACCAAGACTTCTTTTCCTGAGTCTTGTCGATATTGCCTTTAAACTTGTTAGAACCACCACTCATTTTCCATGACTGAGCTTGCAGTGCCTCTATCAAGTCCTGAACTCCTTTCCTTTCGACAATCCTCATCTCATTCACCTCCAACGAGCCAACCAAATCTTCCACTTTTAGGGTTTCAAGATTGTTAGATTCTTGAATAGCTACGATAACGTGATCAAAGTGAGAGGTCAATGTTCTTATTACCTTCTCAACTATCATCTTATCAATTATGGTTTCACCACAATCTTTCATAAGATGGACGAGTTTCTGAACCTTCGACACATATTCTGCAACTTTTTCGTCTTCTCCCTTAGACAATAACTCATATTGCTGACACAAAGTTTGTAACTTGGCAACCTTTCTCATCTCCTTCGTAATACTTCACCAGAATATCTCATGCCTCCTTCGTCGTTTCAGCATGAGAAATCATGACGAAGTTAGCAACGTCGACCACCGTCTGAGTGCAATAAGCAACCTTGCAATCTTTCTTCTTGACAATGTTGCGGACAGTTTCTTGTGTTTCAGTTGCATCTGCAGTCAACACAGAAACGTCATCGGTAATCACTTCTAGGGTTTCATGAAAGCCAAACAAGGATTGTATCTGTTTTTTCCAACAGTGGATTCACTTGTCCTGGAAATACAATCTCTAACGTGAAGTTCTTGAAACTCGATCAAGAACATAACCAGTCTCTGATACTAATTTGTTAGTGCGTGAGACACTTTTAGTGAGATGAGAAAAAAATAATAATAAAGAAAATAAAAATTATATTATTCACTTGAATTGTATTGTACAAAATAAAAATACACACTATGAATATTTATATACAACTTTAATTGATCTTAGACTTATACAATTTAAATTATATTTAAATATTAAATTTAATCAAATCTACTCTAATATTTCAATAATTTCGAGAAAACTTTTTATTACTTATTTAGTTCACCCAAAGAAATTCAAATCACAAACTGCCCAATATCCATATAATGATTTTAATGAATGGGTTCATCTATCAACGATATTCGCATCAATAATTAGCCTCAGTTTTGTTTCGTACTGCGTCTATATTGATCCAAAGGAGAAGTCGTGCAAGAAAGTAAAAACCATATCATATATGGTCCCAAACTGGAATGGATAGTGACACGACATGTATTGCGTAATAGTGTCAAATAAGGAAGATTGTGGAAGTGTTGAAGCCAGACCCCTACCAAAAGTGAGCACTTTTGGTACGAACAATGTTAAACACTTGTCGTTATAACACAGTACAAATTCAAAATAAGCAAATGAAGTAAGTCTCGCAATATTTTGACCATAGTCTATATATAGTCAGTGGCCACATGTGTGACAGTCTAGTCCTGAATCTTCCAACTGTGTCCTAACATGAAAGGCTGTATCACCACAAAAGAGCTTGTTGTTGTTTGGAGAGCTACAAGTCATGCACATACTGCAAGAAGATTACTAACCAGAAAACTCAACTCCTTTTCAAGGACCGACATACTGTTTTTCATACCTGTCAACAAATGGAGCAATATCATGTGACCCTAAGAAAGATGTCTATTTTTACAAACTCTTTAAATCTTATTCTTTTTTTTTTATATCTTGATATCCGTCTTTGCGATTTCACGTCTACTAACGGTGATCCCATTTAAAGTTAAAATATGAACAGATTCAACACAAATTATTAGCACCTAACAGAATTCAAACTTAAATTTTAAGAATAATACACTCTCAACATCCAAACCTTCACCACTAGACCAACTCAGGAGGTTTATCATTTTTTTAAAATATACATGAAACTTGAGTTTTTCTAAATACAATGTAATCATGAACAAATTCACGGCCAACACAGTTTTGCTAGTTTATGTAGTGTAAGGACTTTGTGGCCAGAACACTTACTTTGCAAGTCACGATCCTTCATGTACTATTGCAACTGGTCAAATTTAATTTCACATAGATGAATATGACATATCATTTTGACATGCTAATGAAATGAGGGAAAGGGAAGAGGTTGGCTAACTTTAGAAACCAACTAGCTTTCTGACACTGGTTATCATTTCTTACCACTTAACCAAAATATGAGAACTACTAACTTTGGAAACGAACTAGCTCTCTGACACTGGTTATCATTTCTTACCACTTTACCAAAAGATGAGAACTACAGCAGCAATAATCTGTGACACAAATATTGAAACAACATTCCAACACAAAAAACATACATGATATTAACACCACTTTTACATACTATGATATTGTAGTACTTTACCTTCATTTATCCCTATGTTATTAAAAAGTTAAAAATATTTTTATTAAAAATTAATGTATTTAATACTATTGATAAAATTGTTTCAATATATATCTATTTCGTTTAAATGTGTGTGAGAATTGTCAAAAGAATATATAAGATGTTTTGAAGTAAAGAAAGATACTTTTTTTTTAAACACTTGTTTGAATTTTCAAAACATATGATTCCTTACAAAAAAGTGTCAAAAGAAATGATTTTTTTATCTTTATGAATACTTGATTGACTTTTTTATCACTTATATAACTTTTTTATATGTATGTGATACGAATGTCATACAAATGTTAGATACCGTAACACCATAGTTCATAATTGCTTAGTTTTTTATAACATCATTTACAAACAAATTATTTTCCATGTTATTTTTAATAACCAAACCAAATTTTGCAAAACTGACAATAATAAACCCCAGGTATATTAACTAAAGTTTGTTTATAGAAAGGAATTTACAGTAGATTATCACTGGTCCCAATTGTTGAATGCAGTATAGTCTTCAATTCATCGATATCTTTAAGCAATCTCTCATTTTCCCACTTCTTGCTCTGTACCTCACCTTCTAATGCTGCAGTAGGTAAATGTTAACTTCCCAATATATGTTATCCTTCATTTGGTATAATGGAATAATATAAACGAACACCAACACCTAGAAGTAATAACTAGCATGAAAAACAATTTGGACAATGTTAAATACTAATCAATGATTTTTTATTGGATACATATATCACACTTAGGAAGTATAGATAAAATTAGTCAAGATATTACTTAGTTAATCAATTTGGTTAGTTTGTTAGTCTCTTGTTTTTTAAACAGCTCATTATTAAGAGGACAAGTGATCTTTGATGAAGTGAACCTTTTTCTTTTAAAGCTAAATTACCTGAGTTTGAACTGTGAAGATCTTCAAGGATTTCCTCTACAAATGCCAATACAGAATTTTTCAAAACACAATTCTTGTCATCCAAAACTTGAATTTCATTTTCAAGTAAATATTTCTCAGACAACAAAGTCCTCACTTTAAAATTTTCCCTCTTGTCAATTTCTTTTTGAAATTTTAGGCATAGTGCTGTAAATTCTTCCCTGAACGCCAACAAATCAATAAGTTAAGGTCACATTATGAGTTAGAATACAGACACAAATTTTTGTCATTTGAGTAACAGTAGCTTATGCTCTTTTCCTTTAACATCTACAGTTTCTTTTCTGTTTGAATAAAAATACTAATACAAAGACAAAGACATAATATGTTCATACAGAAAGGCATCAATTAATAAATAATATCATATACATGTATACTGTTTATTAAATGTCAAGAAAAAGTGAGATAAGAACTCCAGTCAGCTATAGGGTCTTAGAAGTTATATTCAAACTATTACTAGATCTTATATTAACATTAGATATCACAAAATAAGCTATAGGGTCTTAGAAGTTATACTCAAAATATTACTACTAGATCTTATATTAACATTAGATATCACAAAATAACACATGCAACTATACCACATGTGAATGGATATGATATTTCTTACAGACTGTACAGTATTGATTTCTTTGCAAGTTTAACTTGTAGTGAAGTTCTAAACAAAATAAGGCTTCAATAACAATATTTGTATCTACAGATAATAAAAAAATTCTTTCAGTACCGTTTTACACCCGTTATATTAACCATATCATCCCGCTTGATTTTAAGACAACATAGCTCTTTCTCCAAAGTGTTCACTGATGCCTTGAAATCAGCTATAATAAGAAGAGAAACAGTATGGTTAAAAATGGCAGACAATTGATTATTCAATAACCTAGTTTGAAGGTATATTATATTGCTAACCATGTTATATAGGTTAAAAAGATTAATGAACATTTAGAAGTGACCAATCTCAATGTAAAACCTATTAGACACACAAGGTAAATTATCCTCTCTCAACCGGGTTTTCTACGTAAGCTAGTTTCTAGAATTTAAGGACATTTTCAGATTTTCCTTATCAAAATGATTTAAAATTTGTCCATGTGTTAAAAATATAAACTTTGTTAAGATTATGCAGTAAGTTCGTTAGGTAAGTTAGTTACTTGTTTGTGAAGTAAGTGCTTCTTGCATTGCTTAATCCTAGTTAATGAGAATCACAATTACCCTACAAACTTAATAGAGAGAGAAACTTAATGAATATAAGCTAAATCAATATGGGATTGGGCCAGGAATACATTTGGTACTTCTTCTATCCAGACACTATAATTCTCAACATGGGCCTGTTTAGCTAGAACGAGTGCAACCTGAATTTTACACCTATTTGCAAACACAAAACTCACTTTGAAAAAAACCTAATTTTTAGAATGGTTTCTAGCTATCAAACTCCAAATACTTCTAGGAAATCTTTAAATTGATTGTTTGAATCAATATCTTGCAATCTGATTCTTAGATAGCATTTTTGAAACAACAATCAATCGCAAAATCAATAACATTCATAATGGTTTTCTTCTACAACAATAGTTGTAACAAATGAAGGACTGAACTTTATGGAATATGACATAGGATTTTAAATCCAACGATCGCATAAAGACTTTCGCGATTTCGATCAGTTCAGGTGCAACACTAATTGCGCTCGCTGCGGTGTGAAATAACCTCAATTTGTTCTATCTCATAAAAACAATGAATAATGACGATATCGGTATCGACACCTTCCGATACCGTTTTGTCGCGACGCTTTCGCAGTAACGGACCGTTTTTTAAAACACATCATCCAAAATTCAAGTTTTAAGCAGTTTCAAAATGAAAAGCGCACCAAAACGTACTTCCAAAATCCAAAAGCCGCACTAAGAGAAAGTAATTGATCAATATAACCGAACAAATTATTGTTAAATTAGGAGGTTGAATTCAAAAATAATAACAAATTGATCCATAATTTGAAATGTCCTCCTCTAACAAATTGAATATGTATGGCTAAACAAGTTTTTTTCATTTTGTTCCTACAAACTAACCAATTAATCAGCAAATCAGAACAATCAATGATAAAATGTCAACTAGGAAGATGAAATGCGAAGGGGATATTTCTAACCAGCAACAGTTACATAACCAACCGTGTCGAACTGCAAACCGGCACTGATTGCGATCAATTCAGCTTCCTTAGTTGCAAAATGAGTCTCCATCTCCTCGCATTTGACGATGCTGGATTCGATCTCTCGTGTGATCTGAATATGAGCTTCGATTTCTTCGTTGACCTAATGTGATCAATAATAACGATGAAATTATTTTTGTTTAACAATGAATGGAGATCAAGATAGATTGAAGAGAATAATACCTGGTCAAGCATTTCCTTCAGAGATGAAATGTGAGAGAGAATCGCTCCTGAATCTTCCATTGCGGTGATGTTCTGTTACAAGCGAGAGTTACCGCTATATTTCAATGGTTCAGTTTCATGTTTCCCGCGCTTCAATATTTCATACCAAATTCTTTTTCTTTATGCGCATGTCGGAATTTTCATAAATATTTTTGGTGAGATAAAAAGAATTTTTAGAATAGATAGTAAAATTTCTATTACGGAGGAAATTTTCGATAGGAAATAATAAAATTTGTAGTACTTTACAATTTTCGGTAATTCATAGAAAATTTTCGATATAATTTTTTAAAATGAAAAAAAAAATTGTTTTATACTATCGGAAATTTCGAAATATAATGAAATTGCCTATATTATACCGGAAATTTCCTGTGTATTGGATCGAAAATTTCAAATATACTAATATTTTCGGTATTTTTTTTAAATACACCTCCAAATTTCCGTTAAAACTCATTTTTTAAAATTCGTGATTTCAGACAAAGATATAATAATAATAAAAGCATATAAAAGGAGGGGTGTCAAGTATAAGTGTTGGGATGACAAGTTAAAACCTCCGCATGTTTACATATGAATTTAGGCTCAATCTCTCAATTGGTTTTGGGCTTTTTAGGCCTTTTTTAAAGTTAATTGACTAAAGTTTTATTTCGGTGTTGGTCGTTGCACCTTTAGTATTAATATTAAACCTTCAATTTTTAAATGCACCCAATGCACCTATAGAATTTAGGATTTAGGATTTTGAGTGTGTATTCTGCCTTCGAAGAAGATCTTGATACACCATGTTGCCTTTCACTTTTATAGTAGATGAAGGCTTGCCTAAGTAAAAAATAAAACTCTGTCGTGGAATGTCTAGTGTCATGGCAAGATTCTCAATTTAAATCCGTGAAATTTGTTAGGCTATGTTTACAAGTTTGGAGGGGATGGAATGGAAGACTTTCGAAAATGAATTTTTAAAAAAATATAGGAAAATATTTGACATTTATTGAAAAACTGATTTTCTATAGAATCATAAAATAGTGTTTATTATTACTGTATTTCTAATTTTCTTAATACTATAACAACATAAAAGATATTTGGAAAATTTATGTAAGTCATCCAAAACCCTCATTCAATATAAATTTTGAGTTCCCCCAGATTAGGAAGTTTTTTGGTGTTATGAAGAAACACAAACTCTCCAAAAACCCTCATAACCAAAAACTTTCTATTATTTTCACTCAATCCTTCCTATTCTCCAAAGCCCTCATATCCCTTCTACTCCAAACTCCCAAATAAAGCCTTAGAGTATGTCAAGAGTTTGTCTTGAATAATAATCCTTGTGAAGGAGCAACTCTGATGTATTTGAGGATTTGAAAAAACATGAAGATGGACATCAGTAGAATTGGAAAGGATATGGCTCAACTGAAATAACCGGCTGAAAATCATCAAACAATAAAGTCGCCAGCGAACATCGTTTATCCCACATGAAGGGAAAGATAAACATCGAGAAAACCTGAGAAGGGAGAAGTCACGGTCTTACGACCGAGAGATCGAATAAGGGAGTCTGTTATGCAAGGGAAAGATATTAGCACTCCTCACGCCCGTAGTACTCTATGATATCCACTCTTGTTATTTATCTTATGGATGTGTTTAATTTATGCTTACTGTACTACTGAGGAAGAATGCATGCAAAAGAAATGAGAAAATAATGTAGGGAAAATAAAGTTGTGCTCGCTTGGACCCTACCCCAATGCGTACGTATCCTTTTTGAGGAATCAAATTTACCGTAGTTCAGCTCACATGTTTTGTTTGTTTTGTATTTTTTATGAACAATGTTAATTCCGCCTTCTGTCGCAGCTCGACCTTTGGAGACTCACGCATTGGCACATAAGTAAATTAACACGTCCTTACCTGAAAAGGGTTTTTAGAGAAAGGGTGCTTGAACGCACAAAAAGGTGTGAGTTGGTTTGTATTTTGTTACCTTGAAAAAAGATTTAAGTGTGATTAGCATGTTTTATGGTTTGTTAAAAAAGAAAGCTTTAGTTTTAAATGCAACGATGCAAAAGAAAGAAAACAACTAAGGGAGACTAGCCTAGCACTATCCCTATTGTTATCATGCAACGATGGCCCTACGTCAAAGATGAAAGGGAAATCTCTAGATAATGTTAGCATGCATGGTTTACAACCTAAGGTTTAACTTTTATTCGAAAGGAATAAGTACATCTTAAGGGAACATTGTATGTACAAGGATAAACAAACAAGCTCAAAAGAGCACATACGTCAAATGGTAAGGAAAAGAAGTAAAATGCTTTAGCCAAGGGGAGCGTATCACCCGAGACAAACAAACAGGAGTAGGATGTAAAACAAAAATGTGATGTCCAAAGCGACTGAACACATAACCAAGATATAGGAGATCGAGGTAGGCGACAAAAGACAATATGAACGATCACGGAGTATCAGCATCAGCCAATGCGAACTCCTGACAAAGTGTAGGGGTTCGATTGCAGAACCATTCCCCACTTAACGACTCGATAACAAGAGCAGACACAACTCCAAAGTATCGTGGTGTATAACGAGCTAAGGATGACATAAATGAAATGGCGGGGATCGACTGCAAACCTTCCCTGCTCACCTCTTTTTGAGGATTTATCATCTGTAACATATGCGAGCATAAATATAAACACATGTGAGGAATACCTACTTCAAAGGTAGGATTTTAAACAAACACATATAGAACACAGAAAGCACACAATACGGAATTGCCCTAAACGGGTCTTTAAATAAACCAGAGGGATTCCTGACATGATCAGCAACGGAGATCCCCGTCATACATCTCTACCCTACTTCTCATGGCATCAGAAAGCAGTAAAGCCCTACTTCTCATGATCTCTAGAAAAGCGGTAAAGTGCGGAAATGAAAAATAAAAGTGAAGCCATGATGATACCTAACGTAGAAGGTCTATTGCCTCTTCAAAACCATGTAAGTGATAAGAAAACTCTATAGAAGCTTCTTCGCACGAGTGATCAAAGAATTAATCTCCAAGCATTCCACATTGATAAAGTTACATCGACACTCTATCACAAAATCTTGGCTAAAAAGGGCAACAAAAATGATTACCAAACATGAAAATAATAGAAAACTCTAATGAAATTTCTAAAGAGAGGTCCTAAAGAATTCTAAAATGTTCAAATATTTTTGTATCATTTTTATTATCAATTAAGAAAACAAAATTAAACTAGAATAAAACTGAAATAAAAAAAAAGTTAGAAGAGTCAGGGGGTGCAAACTGCAGACAGCGGTACTGTGTAGTAAGCAAAACATGGGTTCTAGGCCCTACTGCAAGGTCTAATACGCGGTCTTTTTGTTGCCTAAGCTTCAATGCACAAAAAAAGGTGTGGACTTAGGGGAGTGTGGCTCGGTCCATCACCTTAGCCCAACACAATTATGTTCAGCATATTCCCTTTTTTATTGGCATGTTTTGTAAAGATGATAAACCAAAGAAAGAGTAGAGTGAACAACAACAAAGACAAAACATCAACGTTTGGCTAGGGTTCAAATGAGGGAATTTTCAGATTCTTCTCTAAAATACAACTAACTCCTTCTCTCATTTTAACGGAGGTGCAATTCTTCTACTCTCTCCTCTATTCATACATCAACCTCTGATGTCGAAGCTCCGCTTGCCTCTGTCATCGATGCTACAATTTCGTTCTTCTTCAATCTCTCGTTGCCATGGTCATCATCCTCTTTGACCTCTATCTCCTTCTCCATCAACATTCCCTTTGACTTAGCTCTGCTTCAAATCACATTACTGTGCATCTTCGTCCCGATCCGATGCTCAATTCACCTTCCTCTTCATCGCGAATTTGCTCAAGCATAAAACAAGAAGATTATTCTGGTAATCATTCTTATGTTCTCTTTAGTTACGCTATAGATTATTTCCTCCTTTTTCATTTCTCTGTGAGTTCCTTTTTGCGATATTCTCTATGATTTGCAAACTGTGAAGTTATTGGAGTTGTGCGCGATCCTGGTTCAGCATTTTTGTTGCTTGATTGCAGATGAGTTGAGGAAGATGATAAAGAAAAGTGGAGTTGTTAGTGATGATAGAAGTTATTGTAATGATTAGGGTGTGCAAAAAAACTGGTTACTGATAACCAAATTCATATCCAAATTGTTCCATTTATTAAAACTCAATCCAAATATTAAACATTGGATTTGGTGGTCCATCTATGGTCAAAGTGGTAAACCGATACCCATAAAATGGTTATTGGGTATCCAAATTTCTTTCTCATCAAATTTTTCTGCTTTCCAATTTTCACACTTTCTCAAGAAAATAAGCTCTACACATTTTCATAAAAATTGAATGATGTTTAACACTTTATTTCAAATGACTAATTATTAAATAAATATAAAAATGTTTAATTATAGTTAAAAAATATGCAAACACTCTCAAATAAATTGAAAGATATAGTATATTAAACATTTAAAAAGCAAGATATATTATTATCATTGTAGAAGACAAATTTAAATTTGAAAGAAATTTGTTTGAACTTGATCTCTTTTCATTCAATATACATATACTTTATATAAGAAAACGAATGTGCACAATGAATTAATTAATACTATCTCAGTATTAATTGATTTTTCTTTTAGGATTGATAAAACAAAAAGGATCATTTAAACATAAAAAGGTTTTAAAAAATGTTTTGTGACCGTGAGAACGACTGCGACAAAATGTTTTGGACATATATCGATATCGATACTGTTATATCCGTTTTATATTAAAAAACAAATTATAATTAATAATTTACACTGCAACGAACACAATCAATGTCGTAACACCTCTATCGACTGAAATTGCAAAAATTGTAATACGACCGCGACAATTTTTTAAAATCTGCTTAAAATTAAATTAAGGATGTGATTTATTAATGTTTAAAAAAATTATTACTGAATTAATTTTAAAATTTTATTTATTAAAATTAATTGAATATAGATTAAATTATATTTAAATAATTTGGATTAAAATTAAAACTGGTTTTAAACCGGTTTTA